GCTTGCATGATGTTATTGATGGTCCAGTATGTATGTATGGTAGCAGGACTCACCAGACTGAGTACCTCGGGATCAACCATTGTGACTGCGCTTATACCCCTCAGCGCTTTCGATCTCAGGCCGACCGCAGGGTTATCCATGACGCTAAGCAAAGCATGCAGGATGGGTATGATTGCGTTCTGCAACGGTCGTCCCCGCGAGACAGCAATTGACGACTGTGTTGCAATCTCGTTCTGCCTTGGGTCGCTGCGTATGTCAGCTCTCGAAATACCCTGCTTGACCCACCCAACCTCGAAGAGCCCGTCTTCACCCATCCAGACGGCGTGCAACGCGTGTTTCATGCTCATCGTAATGGTCTGAAGGCGACCGACAGTCTCTTGAGCGTCCGCGGTGTTTTCTTCTTGCAGCTTGATGATCACTGACGCCGATTTCTTTATGGCTCCTTGCAGTTCTTGCGCCCAGATCACCAATGCCATATCACGAGCGCTCTGTAGATCTGTCGTTTAGCGCTGTGTTGGACGTTGGACGAATCAGATGCAAGCTCACGGCTATAGATGCATCCTCTCGGCATGCAGCCGACAGAAAAGTGCGTATAGCTGTGTGTGATTGCACGAGTCTTGAGAAGCCAGACACATCGACATTAGAGATGACCTAGATTGCATTATGTCAGATGCGGGACATCGAAGCTAGCTAAACGTACCTCGTCCATTGTGGCGACCTCATTGTCGCCACCCATCTCCATTTGGAGACTCTTCAGCTTCGCAGCGATGTCACCCAGATAATCGAGAGCGATCCCTTTGGCGGCTGTTGCTTCTGGTCCCATTTTCTGATCTTCGACAGCAGTGATCATTATCCTCGAGAAGACAGAAAGGTACAGTGCGGCTGCCGGCCACTCTGGGCGATAGGCGACTGCCATGAGATCTGTGAGAAAGAGCTCCAGAATCGCTTTGTAGTCGCTGTCGTGTGACGTCTTCGAAGCCTTGGTCGACGATGACCTATGTAGAGTAAGCAATTATCATTGTGCTTATGATTTACTTTTGTATCAGATACCCAGCCACCACTCGAGCGGAACGAAGAGCAGATTCCATCGTGTCCGCACAGATTCTGTCCTCCTGTAAGGTACAATCAGTATCGTACTCAGTGGGTAGTCGTACGCAGTGGACAGCCGGAAAACCTACTTCTTCAGTGACATCCACTTTGGGAGCCTGTGGATCAACAATATCCATGTCGGCAGCAGTAGAGTGTAGCTTGCGCACACGAGCTGCTGTCCCATACGCTGACGCCTGGATCAATTGTAGAAGCAAAGCGCTGATAGTGTGAATGGATTTGCCGTTGCCTAATCTAGAGAGATTGTCAGGTGGACTGCCGCTGTACGCATTGCGCGGACTGACTGGAAGAGGTTTTGAGCATGATTCTGTCCTGGAACTCTGATCAGGGAACTGAGGATCTCTTCGACGATCCAATGTCTCTGTTCCTCATAACGAGCGAACGTCTGGAATCGGTGAATGAGCGTCGCCCTGCAATACTGATTGCTGTACGACTTACTCCTCGTAAACAGCCCAGAGCTTCCAACTTCAGGGCCTTCATCATTGAACTTCCTGGAGAACCAGCTATCTCCTTCACTTTGCTTTTCTTCATGGTAGGTTCGCTGACAAACATGGGTCCGATCGCTAGGTAAACTGTCTGTATGACAAGCGAGTCGGATAAAGCAAGACTGGGTTTAGCGATCAGAGCCGCAAGTCGCGGCAATGCAGAACAGATAGATTGGGCAAGCGAGGACAGAGAAGGGTGAGCGAAGTGAGGAGATCCTGCTGGAAGTACTTTGCTTCGCTGCGTTGTTGCGGAGATCTCGAGCGCCAGAATGTACGCCAAATACGTGGATGATACCTCTGGCAGACAGATCAGTAATCAGACTCGCTACGTTAGACCACCCACTGTCTCCAGCCATCGCGCCGATGATCGGTAAGATGACTTTCTCCATCTGATCTTTGATGATCGATACACTGGCCGACAACAGGTCCTCAGAATACATCTACAGGAGATTAGCAAGCTTCACCTCAACCAATACCCGAAGACGTTAGGTGTTGTAGCTTACCTGCTTGGAAAGGCCCTCAGTGTTCAGCAGGGTCAAGCAACATTCAGCTGCAGCGACTCCGTCCCGTGCTCGTGCCACTAAACTCTCATGGTGCTGTAACGAGTCTACATTCATCTCGCTCGCCGTGCTGAGGATGGGTTTCGACTGTTCAAGCGACTTGTCCTTCTTTGCCGGTCGGCCCTTCTTTTTCTTGGTTTTGTCTGCAATCTCGCCTTCCTGAACCGCGGCTGCGACCTTGCGATCATCTGGGAAGACTGTGACGTTCTCTGAATCGCGCATACTTCTTTCTAGTAGTCGTAGCAGGCGCGTCATGACCTCGGGATCCCATTCCTTTGCTTCGTTGTCGCTCACAACAGCTTGGGTATGTCGTCGCTTGGTACGTTGTACCCTGGCAACGTATTGGGAGACCTTCCTGATCGTGTCAAAAGCCAGAAGCGGAGACGACCCGTCTACTGAGGTAGTCGCAAAGAAACGACTTCCAGCCAGATCACCTGCAGAGGGATTGGCAGGGAAGGCATCCGCCTCTTCGAATATATCTTCCAACGAGCTTTGCAGTTTTTGCCAGGTGTCTAGGTTTTTGTCGTGTCAGAACCCGTCTTGAGGTCTGCTTGGCACTGCGCGATTGAACTTACTCCTCTGATCCCGCTCTCCTGTCCTCCCACTACGATGTATCGTCTGGGCGCCCTTGCTAGATTCTCCATAGCTTCCGTCCATATCCCAGTCGCCATCGCGATCCCCGCCCCAGTCGAGGCCGTCATCCTCTTCCTCGTCATCGTCGCCATCGATAACTATGGCACCAGCTGCCTTTGCCCGTTTCGAGGGGATCTCCACTTCTAGCACCTTCTTGTATGCTTTTTTGGCTTTGGGCGTCTCATCCTGGGCAGACGAATTATCTCTCATACTGAGATGAGACAGTCGCATGTCCGCTTGGCCGGGCACCTGCTTTCCCGACGCAAAGCTAGGCGAGGCAGACCTAAAGTTCCCTCGTTGTCTCTTAGTAGGCGAAGGTCCGAGCACGTCAGGAGAGGAGACGGGACTTGAAGCCATGATGCGCTCGTGCGTGGGCGTGGAGGCGACTGAAGAGGGTGGATGAGGCGAGCGCCTAGCGGTCATAGAAACTCTACGAGGCGACGTGCCCCGCTCTCTGCCCGATTCGGTAACGCTTGTAGGTACAACGTGAGCGGCCGAAGAAGAGGACGATCGGGGCGGCGGTGTTGGTCGAGAACCACTTCGACTCCTTCTGCGAGAAGTGGGCTTCGTTTGATTGCCACTACCTGCTGTGGACTCTTGCTTCGCAGCTAGAGCTCGTTCCTGAGCTTCAGCTTTGGCGAGAGTCGCAGAAACGATATTCTCCATGTACTGTCGTGAATCAGGGACAAGTTGGGGCGATGGAGTAGCTCCGTTGCTTGAGCTTGGAGTGGGTGGGAAATGTTGTCGCGAGGAAGATGCGTCGCTAGTCGCTGCTGCAGTCGCAGCCATATAGCCCGGAAGGAAGGTGTATGGTAGTGAGAGCGGCTGATTGCCTTGTTGCTGGCTACTAGGCAGCGGCGGGTGCAACAGGCCGCCACCGTGCGATGGACCCGGGTGCGATCTGATCGGACGGCTCAGCCTACTGCTTTGTCTCACCTCAGAAAGACAGACAGCTCACTGTTGAACATAGCTGACTCCTCTTGACAGCACTTCCCTCAGCCGGGCTTCCGCCGCTTGTCGCACGACCCAGTCTTCCGCACTGGTAGGGCGATCAATGCTAGCGAACGTCTGAGCGTGCTGCGGGTATAGCTCGGTAGAGGATGCTGACGGTATATAAGTTCTTGTGTGAGGGGAGAGGTGCTGGGCGACTGCCGGAAAAGATGTTATCATCTGCACAGACCCCGAGGCCCTGTAGGATGACAAGGTAGCTAGGTGGACCAATGCTCACCTCGGGCGGTGGGCGCATAAGTCATGAAGGGGTAGACGTTGAGCAAGTTTGCCGGATCTGAGATCATGGCATAGCTGTCGGGTCCGTTTGACGCTTGAGTTGACCGGCGATCATCCCCGTGAGCGGGGACAGGGGAGCTGTGTCCGGGAGTAAACGGTCCGGACATCGCGAGGGCTTCTTGGAACGATGCTACAGAGTTGACACGAAAAGGCAATTGACGCAGTCTATTATATAGCAGCAGACTGGTACGCCAATATCGCTATCATGTCGGTCGGTCCAGTCAACCACCGTCACTTGGGCTGTCTTACGCGTCATGTATCTAACTCTTAAACATCAATCACAGTTATCGGATCTTCGTCAACCGGGAACCTCCACCTCTCGCGTGGGGGCCATATGAGCCTATCGACGGTACACGTAATCAGTTTGCAGTCGAAACTTTCCCCCGCTCTCGCGGCCGCGAGTACTTAAACCAAGATGCGAATCCCCCTCTCCTTCCCTTCTCCTTACAGTGTTCGCACTTCGTTAATCTGGTACCTATACCTCACTGCGGGAGTGTACCTTTCAAATAGTGCGTAGAGCAGCGTTACAGCTCAAAGCTTGGTTTCGTTAGCTGCTGGCCCGATCGCGAGATCACCATATTAGCCAGTCTCTTGATAGTAGCCTCGCAACATCGCGTCCTGGGCCGATTGTCGCTTCGTGCGCGGGCCTTGACTGGTGCATATGAACCCGTCATGTCTGACCATTCATGCAACTGTTGGATCGACCATATTGCGCAGCCTGCTACGCAAGGGGAGCTACCCGGTCTGGCCTGGCGGCCGAAACCCGACCACGACGAGACTTTGACACATATGAACAAGACAACAGCTGTCTCAAGGCGTGGCCAAAGTCAAGCAGCGACGACTAGGCCGCGCATATTGATCAGCGTCCCCTGATAGCCTGATTGCGCAATGACTCACATATAAAGCAACTTCCACGTACACCGACATCTTCGGCCATAGAAGGTAGAAAGCACCGCGTCCCGTCCGCTCCGCGAAGTTAACCTGCCTGTCGCCTGGTTAGTACCAACGTGGGGGACCAGTTGGGAATCCCAGGTGCCGAAGTTTTTCTTTTGCTGGGGGCCAGTGGGCCGGGACGAGGATAAGGGCGCCGTACAGCTGTCATAGTAGCAAGGCGGGCACGTTCACTACTCGAGGCCGCCTAGGCACACTGTCTGGAAGGCAGGACAAGTGTGCTCATTGCCCTCATTAGCGCTGCGTCCCCTCATCAAGCAGACAGGCAGGCATATGCATCTACAGAAATGCCATGCGTTCCACCCTATTCACTGTCTTCGTCCTCTTCACCAGCCTCATCATCCTCGTCATCCTCATCATCATCGTCACTCTCCATCTGCTCCAGCACGTCGACATACGCCTTACCCTTGGCATACACCTCGAGCCACCTCTTCTTCTCGTCATCATCCTTGGTCCCCTCTCCCCTCGCAGAGCTCAGGCTGCGCCACTCGACCAGCTCCTCCTCTCCCAACGTGTCAGACTCGTACAATCCTCGAAGGACGATACCGAACCACTGCGTGTAGTCGGCGTTATTGACGCAGAATGCCTGCGCGTCCAAAGCGACGTTGGTCAGGTCCGAGCTGAAACCCTGTACGAAAGGCGCCCAGCGGGAAAAGACAGCCGTGGTGGATCGAAGGATGCCAGCAGCTCCCTGTGTCAAGTCGACCTTGGAGAGGAAGAACTTGACAATCTCCTCTCTGGCTCGATCCAGTCCCGCATTGTACGACAGCACCAAGGTTCGGAACTCGATAACAGCGTTCTCGATCTGGTGACCTTCCTCATATGCCCTTCGAAGAGAGTCCCGAGCTTCGCTGTAGAATGCTGCGGGGGGTCCAGAGTCGAGTGAGAGCATCGGGATGTCCGGCAACGAGGCGGAAGTGGCAACTGATGCGGGGGACGAAGCGGCCGATGTGGAAGCTTTTGACAAGGTGGACAGCGAAGGGTCCGAAGAAGAGAGGTTGGATAATCTTCGACCAAGCTGAAGCAGCTTCTTGTTCCTCGGGTGCTCGTACGGATCATCTCCCTCGTCCTCGGAATCTGAAGGGGGTTCTTCCTCCTCGTTGGGCCAGAGGAAACCGACCGAATTGGGACCGAGGGGTCCAGATGCCTCCTCTGCGAGGTGTGAGCGAGGACGTACTTTTGATGGACATGGACAAACTCACCCTCATCATCGCTTTCCTCTTCTTCGTCGTCCGAATCATAATCATCCCCTTTGTACTTCTCCCTCCCGACCCTTGCAAAGTCGGGAACGACGACGCCCCTACCGAGCTTGACTCCGTTACCGATCAAAGCGCCGGTACCAATCTTGACATCATCACCGATGATGACGCCCTCGCCGACGATACATTCGTGCAGGGTACAGTTGGCACCTATTCTCACATCGTCAAAGACGTAGGATTGTGACACGGTGGTGTTGGGCCCGACCGTGCAATCTGCGCCGAGGGTGGAATGTTGGATATGGGTGTTGTGAGCCAGCGCGGACCGCGGGCCAATCAAAAGAGGTCCGTTGAGCGTGGTCGTTCTGTGGTATTGGTAAGCCAGGCGGGCAGGACGACAGAGATGCTAGCACTCACCGAGACAGCACCACGTTGTCTCGTGCGATGTAAACATTGCCGGTACGTAGCTCATACTGCACGCCTCCTGGCTCGTTCATGTCAGGAGCAAGGGGAAAGGCCCATCTGCGGAGCACATCTCGACTGAAGACGTATCCCAAGTCAGCCCGGTCCAAGGCGAAGCTGCCCTTCTCGGAAAGTCACTCACGTGATCTCTCCAAACGTCCTCGTATCTCTCACTCGCTCAATGTACTCCCCTCCCGTCCCGCTCCTGACATCGCCCTTGCTCTCCTCCGTCACCGGGTCGTCCCGACCCACACAATGCACCGCTATCTTCTTGCCGAGCAGCTCCGAGGTCAGAACACCGTTGACAAAGTGTCGCCTCATGTCGTGGTAGTCAAAGTTCTCGGTGCACAATGCCGGCACGTCCGCCTCGCAGATGTCCACGCCAAGATCTCGGTAACCCCCTTGTCGGGAAGAGGAAGCTGCAGGGGTACCTGACCAGACCTCGTAAGTGTCGATATTTCTGGGGAAGGGGTCGAGGAAGAGCTGTGAAGGGAAAGCGACGCGGGGTTGGGAGGGAGTGAGCGGGTGGGCAGCGTAATGCAGCAGTCGGGATGAAGGCGGGTGGACGAGCATGATAGGCGATTCCGGGTGGGCCCTGAGAGGTAACGGATAAGTGTTATGCCTTACACCGCATGACAGCCGGGACAAGACTCACCTTCCGCCCCGGCCGACTCCCAGGGTCATGATGAAGTTCTTGTCCTCCTCCCTGCGCTTCTTGTGGACATCAATCATCTTCGACAGGTCATAGTTGGACACGATAGGCGAGTGAACCAGGACGAAAGGGTTATCCGCGTTGAGCACCTGCTCCGACCGAAGCGTGTCAGCACTGTGCGGGAGGCAACAGGCCAGTCTTCGCTACCCACGTGCATATCGTCCAGCTCTCGCAAGGCGTCTCCTGCAGACATGGCAGTCTGGGAGGAGAGACATTGTATATCGAGTGTATGACGGTAAGGTGATGTCCTGAGGCGTGTCCAATCAGCACCGGTCCTCCGTAGCGTGCACGTTGACTCACTCGACGAACGCCCGAATCTTGTCGGCGTGCACACCGCAAAAGACGAACACCTGCTTGACCTTGCTTAGGCTGAGACTCTCGAGCGTCCAAGCCAGCAATGGGGTCGAGCATAACGGGAGTAGTACTCGGGGTTGATCCTGGCACAAGACTTCGAATCGTCGATTATAAGAGTCAGCCAAGACTACAGCTTGAAGGGGAGCTTCGTCCACATTGTCTGCTTTCTGCGAGTACGGTTCAAGGGCATGAGCTCGGGCATCGACACATGACTGCCAGACACCGCACCGTCTTTTGCTCCGTTTTGGGTGTTTGACCCTTCTTTGGCGGCATGGTGGCGGGTAGCGAACGTAGCTCCTGTCGTGGTTGACCGTCCCCCTCGAGTGTCAATGACCAAGTGATGACCGACTCGAGGCCCAGCACGTCCAACCCGAACATTTCGTGGTCCCAGCGGATCGCGTGGCTGACACGTGGGAGGGGATTTACCGCTTGACCCGATTTTATCACATTTTATCCGAGTCGACTCACCCGCCAGCAACAGCAGCAGCGAGGGGGGGAGGACAGTCCAATGGTCGTGCAGGCATATCGTCGGTCACCATGCTTGGACACATTGCGGAAAGAGTAGACGACATAGACTGAGGACCTGCCCGCCCGCTCATCCGCTCGGTCTCACTCCCACCTCCAACGCCGCTTCCACCTCGAGAAAACAGATCAAGATGCCCGTTCCTTGGGAGGTCAGTCTCCACCTCTTGCATCACCACATGTACTCGAGTAGCACACTGATGCCGTTCCCCTTCCATAGGCTCTGATTCCCTTCGGTGCGTTACCTAATACTCCACCGCGATCTGCTCCGTGAACTAGCAGGACGGAACTCCTACTGATCCTTCGCCGCATCGCAGGCCTGTTGACCGTCATGTTCGGCGCGACCGGAACCTTGTTCAACACCGCCAAGCGACTGACGAACGACGGCAAGGTCAGTCGCGGTTGGATCTTGTCTGAAGGGCGACCCAAGCACACCCTTGCGTTGTGGCGTTAGCTGACTCGTGGTCTCTCTAGCCCCCACGATACAACTGCGACTCTTGGGAGACGATGATGATGGAGCGAGATAGGAGATTAACGGGGTCACTGCGAGGTCAAAGTGTGCGTGCTGCGCGTCTATTCTCGTTGCGGGTGGTAGGAGCGGGCCAGGTGGACCCGACGGGGGCGTCTCGCCGCCCGCTCCTGCGGTTCGGGCTGTCATCCTCGATCCGCTCGCTGACATACCCCACAGACCGACCCAATCGCACCAAAGGGTTTCGCGACCAACTCTATCTGGGATACCGAGCGAGTGCACTAGTTGTATCGATAGCGGGTGCGGAGGAGCGCCGATGGCTCGATGCAGCACTGTCACGGAACGGCACGCCACGGTACTGACCTTGATGCCGTGGACAGCTGTCTAGACTTGGTCAGCGGTAGACCGTCGCACGGCCCAATGTTGTCGACCGAACCTGTGCCAATCCGACACAAAGGCGCCAATGACATCCAGGCGTGACAGTTGATGTGCAGCGCCTCACTGGCCATGCACATGCGCGACGTCCTTTGTCTCCGTCGAGGTCATCCTTTGCATCAACAGGCTCCCCCGAGCCAGCTTCGAGCCCCGCTGACCCCGTGGTACGCGGATCGAGCTCCGATCATTCCCATCAGGGGTTCAAGTCGGGCCAGCACAGCCATGAGGAGAATGTGAATGACACCCCTTCCAGCACCCATATACTCATCTGCCTACACCATAGATAGTATTGACCGAACGCACAATCACATTTCGACCCGATCGCCTTATATTTAGACAGTCACCACGCCATTGCGAGAGCAGAAAATGTCAAGCATGTACCAGAGCGACCCATCCGAATCTTGCACATCTCAAGGCACATCCAGCTCTACCTCTTGGGCAGACATGCGACATCCCTCGATAGATGGCCTCTCCACACTCCTGTACAGTGGCATGCAATCTCTGTCCGCCGCCATCACCGCTTTTGTCACTGCCTGTGGCCTCGACGATGACACGCCTCACTCGGTCGCGATGAGAGATCGTTTCGCCCTCAGGATCCTGGGTCGTATCCGCGAGGAGGAGGCTCAATGATTCCGTAACACCGATGCACGTTTTGCCGGTCGAATCTGATTGATGGTCATTGAGAACAATCACGCACAGCGGCCAGTGTAACACGATGCATCGTGTTGATGAGCGAGCGACCTAGGCATCGATACCCCTGGCAGCCTCGTTCCTCCCCGCGCCCATATCCAACGCCTCCATCTCCCTGATCATACCCTCTACCGCCTGTTCCTCCCGCTTCAACACGGCGTCCCTCGCTCCCCCTTCGTTCTTGGCATCCAGCTCTGCCAGAGCAGCCGGGATGGGCTGAGCGGCCGGGGGATGAGGCAGAGACGTGCTTGA